ACTATTTTCCTTGCTCCCAATGTAGCACTCGGTGCCACTAGCCATTCTGGACAGCTTTCACAGGATGGTTGGATCTGGAGAATATGCAAAGACTTCAGGGGGGCTCCATCAAACCAAAATCATGAAAGGAATGAATGATGTCTGCTTTCCAAGTGTAGGGAAGCAACAAAGTTTGCAGATCCTACTGTTCTCTTGCACAAAGAAAAAAAAAATTGGTTGTAATCAGGGGCCGACTGACAACTCATGGTGCCCCCGAGCAATAGGGGATCATGGGGCCCCTGTGTCCTTGCCCAAACTCAAAAAAGCCTATGAAAAAGGTACCAGGGGCATCTCATGGGGCCCCCTACTGACCCCGAGCCCTCGGGCAGTGCCCGAGTTTCCAAATGGTCAGTCCGCCCCTGGCTGTAATAATATTCAAATGGAGTGAAGGAATTAAACCCATACATACACGTCTCCAATGAAAGATTAAATATTTTCTCAGCCCAAGCTGAGAATAATACATATTTTGTTTAACAATTGATATACTGAAAAGAACTCACAGCGCTACCCTTTTAAACCCTCAGTGTCTCTATACATATGAGTGTGCTAAAATTGAACAGCTATGGCTACACAAATGTCCCCGTAAGGTAATATCACAATTCTGCTCTTTAAAAAAAAATTGTGCAAACAACCGAATAAACAATTGTCCGATATTGTTCCAGCTGCATTATTTGGTGCAGTGATACAAGTGCTGGGGGGAACTTCTATAAAGTGCAAGCATATTGATGTGTTCCCTCTCTTGTGCCCACACTCTCCAGAAGATGTGGACTCTGTGCAGAAGCGTATTGGTCAGGCACACTTTTATTGCTGGTATTCTCTGGCTCATATATGTTCCTTTGGTGTACTCTCCTCTACTCTTCTTCTTCCTCTGTTCTTCCAGGCAGTGTAAGGCTCCATGTATATGAGACGTTTGGAAAACACTTCAGAAACTGACTGCTGGAAAACGTAGGTTAAAAAACGTCTGTTTAGCCACGTTTGCACACTGCGTTTATGCGCGTTTATAAGCATTTGCGTTTAGAAGTGTTTTTTTAAAGATAACCTCAGGAGACCTTCCAAAATGCCAAGAATGCATGAAAAACAGTAAATAAATAACTAGTTCAGACATTTTGAGAGAAATAGAGAGAGCAGAAGCAGAGAGAGCAGTATGTGCTGAGATGACCTGTCTTTTCTGGTTGTATTCACTATGGATCCCATCATGAGCGGCACGTTCTACCATTTTTTCCTTCATGCAAAATCTGGAACTGACTGTACTAGGTCCATTTGAATACATGGAAAACGCTTTGCATGCAATTCTGATTATGAAAAAAGGCTCTGGACAGCATTTGGATATGGAACAGTAAAAAAAACACTTCTAAACGAAAACGCTTATAAACGCGGTTCACCGCGTTTAGAAGCGTTTGGCATTTGAAACGCTGGTAAAATCTGCTCCTAAACGCAAGTTTGGTGCATTCAAAAAAACGACTGTAAACTCAACTGCCTGTAAATGACTGTAAACGACGATGTGTACATGGAGACGCAGAAAAGCTCCTGAATGTCAGTTTATCAGCTGCAGTGTGCATGAGCCCTTAGAAAAAAGTTTTGGTATGCCTCACATGCAAAAGGATAGACAAGGGGAAATCTTGCTTTATTTAAAACATGAAAACACTTGTTACACTCACTTGCTATGAAAGGTTCAATATCGATTGCAATCACAGATACAATATCGAACCTGGAAGTGTCACTCCAGCATGCACTTCACAGACCAGATGTGACATCACTGGTCCCGCCTAATGCGTTTTTCCCCTCCCACAGGGTGACTTCAGAAGCTGGAGCCACCGCTTATGGGTTCCCTTTTATGCTGGGGGAAAATTTGTGTAGCCATAGCTGTTCAATTTAAGAACATTCTTATTTATTTATTTATTTATTTATTATTTGTTTATTTATTCCAGGTACTTATATTGCACTGTCAATTTATGCAGCTCTTTATATATATATTGTACATTCACATCAGTCCCTAACCCTCAAGGAGCATACAGTCTAAGGTCCCTAACTTATGTTCATACATACACATAGTAGGGACAATTTTGACAGGAACCAATTAACCTACCAGCATGTCTTTGGAGAGTGGGAGGAAACCAGAGTACCCGGAGGAAACCCACGCAAGCACTGGGAGAACTCCAGGCAGGTAGTCTCATGGTTGGGATGCAAAACAACGACCTTACTGCTACCAAGCGGAAGTGCTAACCACTGTATTTCTATTCATATGTATAGAAACACTGACGATTTAAAGGGGTAGTGCTGTGCGTTCTTTTCTGTATACCATTTTAAGGCAACATTGTCTTTTTAACAGTAGCAAACCCACTGGAGATTTTTTATTACTTTTTTCACTTGATTCTTTGGGGGGATAATCATGCTCATTATTGTAGCTCAATATATAGGGGGATTTATGTAGTCAAAAGTGTCCAATATAAGCACATTCATGTACATAAAAACACTAAGGATTTAAAGGGGCAGTGCTGTGAGTTTTTATCAGTATACTGTTCGAGGCAATAATGCCGTTGTAACAGCAGCAAACCCATTTTGAGATTTTTTTCACTAGTATGTTTTCTACTTGTATTTTCACATTTCACACATTTTTCATTTAAATAGGAATTTACTACAATCCTAGCACTGGTAAAGAAAGATAGATTAAATAGGTCAACATTTGGAACTTTTTTTGTTCTTTTATGCCCCATTCACATCATTGCGTAGTGGGAACGAGTTCCCTCCATGCGATATTGACAGTGCACTTTTCACATGCCTCTGCATGTTGCATAGGGAAGCTCATTCATTTGAATGGGCTACCATATTCATGTTTGGCACCTAAAAGAAGTTCCTGCTCCTTTTTGGGTGACATGCCTCATGCATTTTTAAAGGCGCAGTTTGCTACGCTTGCCACACGATTCTGACGTGCGACAATTGCATCGCATTTGGGGGCCATTAAAGGATAATGGCACCCAAACAGACGCTGCCTGCTGTGCTGCAAAAGCCATACGATTTGGAATCGCTGGCAGAATTGCTGAAATTACAAATTGCGAAGTGTAAATGTTGTTTTCTTGCCAATTATTCAGTGTCAGCTACCTAGAGTTTTTAATGGCATGTTGTAACTGGAAGCAGACTCATCTAACCTTTAAGTATAAGACTTACATAAAAAAACACAGACACAAAGACCATTTTGCAGGAAAGGCTTGGAATAAAAAACAAAGGCCCAGCAACTTTATGTAATCCATTGACACAGACGAGGTATAATTATCTGTAATTATGGAAATAATATAATGAGAGTCTTTTTCATGGTTTAATATGAATCATTTTCTTAACAAAACAGTTTGTAAAATGTGCAATTATAAAGGTCTTGTTTTTAACTGTTTTGTTGTTTGTTTGTATCCAGGGGCGGACTGACCATTTGGAAACTCGGGCACTGCCAGAGGGCCGGGGTCAGTAGGGGGCCCCATGAGATGCCCCTGCTACCTTTTTCATAGGCTTGAGTTTGAGCAAGGACACAGGGGCCCCATGATCCCCTAATGCCCGGGGGCCCCATGAGTTGTCAGTCCACCCCTGTTTGTATCTATCTATCTATCTATCTATCTATCTATCTATCTATCTATCTATCTATCTATCTATCTATATCAGTGTTTCTCAACCCTTTATCAGTCAAGGCTCCCTTTAAAATAATCAACAGTCCTGGAGGCACCCTTTAAAATGATGAACAGTCCCGAGGCACCCTTTAAAATTATGGACAGTCTTGAGGCACTCCATTCTAAAATGGGGTGCCTCAAGACTGTCCATAATTTTAAATGGGCACCCCATCCTAAAATGTGAAAAACTATTCTAATAGTTTTATATAACGCAGCAACATCCACACACGTAGGACACCCAACGAAAGAGGTGATTTATTCTCCCAAAGCAAATACTCTTTTGCACACTGGTACTGAGTAGCATTCCAATGTTTCTCCTCTCCCTCAGTTTTTCTTCATCAGTGAACTAATGTAACCCCAGTACTGATGGACAGGGGCAGGGGAGGGTCAAACTAGGATGCTGTACAGGTAACTGACATCCTCATCAAACGATGATGTCATTGGTTGTCAGGATGCCGGCGGCTAGAAGGTTGTAATGGAGCACATTGAAAACCTGTGGCTTTGTGTAACTAAAAGGCAGACTTGTTCTACCCGCTGGCTTGTATATAAGGTTTGGGAAATTTGTAGACATTTTGCCAAGGCACCCCCAAAGAAACCTCAAGGCACCCCAGGGTGCCTGGGCACCCTGGTTGAGAAAGGCTGATCTAGATAGTCAGCCTGGGGGGGGTATGAGAGGGTTAACTGAACAGGACACATACTTCCCAGACCTGTTTATTAAGCAGCTGGTCAGAGAGGCCAGTTGATGGCAGTTTTGCTGTCTGTAGTGAGGAGACCTAGATGCTGCCTGGAAATCTCTATAATCTGGCTTTGACCTGCTGGGTGAGCTTTCCTTTAACAGTGACTTTGAAATACTGTGTGTGCAGTGGATGGGACACTGGAAGTTATTGATGTAAGCCTGGGTTCACAAATGGGCGGTGCAGTAACTGCACCGCATTCCTGTGCAAATCACATGCGATTTGTGTGCAGTGCGAAAATGTATGGCTCTATTCTCACCGCTCCTGCACCAAAAACGTGCAGGACCCTTTTTTGGGTCAGCACTAGAATCAGGTCGCATGGGTATTCACACCTATGTGATCTGATTTTGTATGTTTTCTGGACCGCTTTTGGGGTGTTGTTAGCTTAACACCCACAGCAGTTCGCATGAATGGGGTGCTATTCTGATGCATGACGGAATTTGCACAGAAAACGCTGTGAATTCTGCACCGCATCAGTGTGAACCAGGGCTAAGACTGTGTTGTACTAATGGGAAGGTTTACCTGTCCTGTTTAACCTCCCTGGCGGTATTCCCGAGTGTAGCTTGTGGTAAAATGTCAGTACCAAAAGCGGTAACCCCGAGCTACACTCGGGCTTACCATGCGGCGCTGCATAGGGAGTCCCTGCAGAGCTTACCTTGTCCTTCGCTCCTGAGATGTGTCTTCTGCAGCATCCCCGGCCATCTCCTCCGGCCAATGCCGGCATCCGGCTTCTGTGTTCCGGTCCCTGTGACGTCGGACATACGGGTGCCACCAGCGGTGGGAAATTTGAAAATTTTAAAAAAATGTCATTTTTTTCCTAAACAAATTTTACATAGCAAAACATTGCTGTTTCAACCCATTTCACATGGATATTTTGTCCCGAGTGCTTTGTCCTGTGCCCTGCCAGCATTTTGTCTGTTCTTTCTGCCTGGAAACTGAGAAAAGTCCATAGCGTCCAAAAAGTGTCCCTTTAGGTCAAAAGCGGGTTTAGATCAGCTAGAGAACAGCGATAGTAAATCAGAACCACTTGCAGAATTGAGTGATAATGATTCGTGGGGAAATTCGTCATCAGACACTGAAAACGATTTTGCGACTTTGCTCAGCAATGTGCGAACTTGGCGCTATATTTCAAATTTCAGTGTTTTTGGTTTGATTATATTATTGAATTAAATGTATTATTATTGTATTATTATTTTTTATGATTATTTATTAAATTATAATTTATGATTTCGTGTTTCAAATTTTATCATACTCGGGATGTTTACTAGACTCTTGTTCGGACAGATTTCAGTGAGTACCGCTTTCAGCACCAAAAATCGGAAATAATCAGACCGCTAGGGAGGTTAAACAGAATCTGATAACAAACCTTGTCACTTTTCTGTTTGGTAGTAAATAAAATGGATTTTAAGTTTAGTAAACTGTCTGCCAAGAGCCTGTTTACCCCTCTGATCCCAAAGATAGATAGACAGATAGATAGGCAAACAGACTAGTCATTAGAAGTGGTGACTAAGGATTTTTCATTTCTCAGGCTAAGAATATTTTCAGCAATTCCAGAAAGTGCAAAATCCTGGTCACTTCGTGTGAGATGAATTAAAAGCACAAACAATGTTATTTTTCATCTGTAATCCCTCCATTTCCCATGCAATAGAGATAAAGAAAAAAACAGACTGGGTGACAACCATGGCTCCCTCTATAGATACAGTGCAATAAGTGAGTGTAGGGACAGAAAATGTTTCAGTGGCAGGATCCCTAGGTAACAATAAAGGACAAGAAAGCGTTAAAGAACAAAACTAATGCAGCCACTACATCTAATAAAAGGTATACTGCAATATAGTACATTTTAGTTGTTACATTTATAGAAACATAGAGAAGTGATGGCAGAAAAAGACCAAGTGGTCCATCAAGTCTGCCCGTTTTTGTGTGTGTGTTTTTGTGGGGGTTTTTTGTGTTTTGTTTTTTTTTCTTTTTTTTTTTGGGTGGGAGGTGTTGGGTTTTTTTTTGTTGTGTTTTGTTTTATTTTTGCTTATTTGTCTGAGAATAGATCTAAGCATGTTGGAAGCTATGTACTGTTGAATGGCTCACTACCTCTGCTGGAAGTTTATTCCAAGCATCAACTACTCTTTCAGTCAAATAGTACTTTCTGCGATTAGTTTTGAACTTTCCTCCAGCTAGTTTAAGCTCATGTCCTCGTGTTCTTGATTTTGATTTCATATTGAAAATATTGCCCTCCTGAACCTTATTCACCCCCCTTGATGTATATAAAGGTTTCAATCATGTCTTCCCTTTCTCTTCTTTCCTCCAGACTGTACATATTAAGTTCCTGGAATCACTCTTGATAAGTTTTATTCCCCAGACCTTTCACGATTGTTGTTACCCATCTCTGGACTTGTTCTATGTTATCAATATCTTTTTGTAAGTGAGGTCTCCAGAACTGGACACAGTATTCTAAATGAGGTCTAACTAAAGATCTATATTGAGGAATCAGGACCTCCTTCCTCCTGTGGATGATCCCTCCTGTGATGCATCCTAGAATTCTATTCCCCTTCCCCACTGCCTGGCCACACTGTTGGCTCATTTTGCAATCATCTGAAATAAGTACCCCCAAATCCTTTTCCTCTGAAGTGCTGGCCAACACTGTACCCCCAATGTTGTACTCTCTCAATATTTAGATATGCTTTAAGGCATAGGTGTTGTAAACTATAGCATTGGTTATAAGAAAACAACACTATTTATAAAGAATTGACTTTATTTTAATCAAAATAACACTTATAGTCAGGGGCGGACTAACAGCACATGGGGCCCCCGGGCAATAGGGGATCATGGGGCCCCTGTGTCCCTGCCCAAACTCAAAAAAGCCTATTAAAAAGGTACCAGGGGCATCTCATGGGGCCCCCTACTGCCCCCGGGCCCTCGGGCAGTGCCCGAGTTTTCAAATGGTCAGTCCGCCCCTGGATGGAGAGCATGTGATTAAGATCTTTGAATTACAAAAATTCTCCATTCAATCAAACTTTTAAAGTCAAGATAAGACTTTCTTCGTAATTAATGAAAAGAAATAACACTTACTTAATTGATTACAAAAAGAAAAAAAAATAACATTGTCACTCTACTATAGCTTGAATTGGCACACCACATCTTTGGAACATTGGACTTATATTTGATGGTGCTTACTTTCAGTATTCTGCAATATTTGTTCCATACGTCAGAACAACTTCTCACTGTTGTGAGCCATTTACAATAACAAGCAGCTAGATGTGAATCCCATTTAGTAATTAGACCACTTCTAAAACCGCATTATGTGAGCAAGTGATCTGATTGCCTGTGATGTAGCCACAATCTGTGTCTGTTCTCTTCTATCCATGACATTGACTGTATGCCTTTTTCCATGCTAGAGCATTCATCCTCTGTGTTGATTTAATAATTACCCAATGTGATAATCCATGCAGGGCTACCCTAATTGACAATAAAGAACATGTCTAATCTCCAAATGCATTTGTTATTCACACAAAGATTTTCCAAGTTTTCCAAAATGTTTTATCAATGGCTGGTACTTCTCTTTTCTCACAGAGCCAAGAAAATGTCTTCCGGTTTGTGTGCTGTTTCTTTCCACACTCACAAGGTACAGGGCAGCAGACCCCAGTATCTTCAAGGATGGGAAATCTTCTCACTAAGAGGTTAATTTACTAAAGGCAAATAGGCTGTGTGTTCAGTTTACAAGAAAAGTTGCACCGTGCAAAGGAATTTTTCCCAAAGCTTAGTGAATGTGGTGAAATTTCACTTTGCAAAGGATATCCAATCACATGAAAATTCCCTTGCAAAGCTCTGGGGCAAATTCCCTTGCAAAGTGAACAGCCTATTTGCCTGTGGTAAATCAACCCCTATATAGTGGGGGTGATATACTAAAACTGGTGCACACCGACTCTCATGCAGCTGTGCATAGTAACCAATCAGCTTCTAATTTCAACTTGTTCAATAAAGCTTTGATAATAAAACCTACAAGCTGATTGGTTAGTATGCACAGCAGCACCAGATTCTCTGTGCACACGTTTCAGTAAATCTCCCCCAGTATGTCATTCTGTCCAGGGGCGGACTGACCATTTGGAAACTTGGGCACTGCTTGAGGGCCCGGGGTCAGTAGGGGGCACCATGAGATGCCCCTGGTACCTTTTTCATAGGCTTTTTTGAGTTTGGGCAAGGACACAGGGGCCCCATGATCCCCTATTGCCCGGGGGCCCCATGAGTTGTCAGTCCGCCCCTGATTCTGTCATTCTCAGAGAAATGTCTCATATAGTATGGTTAAGCCATACATGGATCAAAATTCGGATGGTTCACAAGGAACCAGCTGAATATCAATCCATGCATGGCCATTCCCATACATGAGAAATCGATCTATTGATTGACTTCTCATGAACCAGCTTATTGGTAAGTTTTCACTCAATCGGAGCATGCAGCCAATCGGCTGCAGCGGTGGTGAAACCATGTATTCTATGGTGGGGGAGTCTCACTGTAAGAATTCATTGACATAGCAGGAGAATTTTCTGCATCCAACTTAAATGTTACTAAACCCAGGACCCTGCATTCACTATATCTGGTCTCCCACAGTACACAGAACAGAGAAAATGCAATTATTTTAGTAAATATAAATTGCTAAATACCTTTTCTCATCAGCAGTCTTGTGACTTCTATCAGTGTCCAGCCAAGCACTGGTTAATCTTGTAGGAGGAGTTTTCATTCTGCTCTGACTAAGGCAGCATAACCCCTACCCTCTTTGGACAGTGCTGATTAACCCTGTGCTGATCACATGCACCCTTCCAAAGAAAAGAAACACTCTCTAACAGTACATACCAAACTAAACATGTGTAGAGTGACTCCTAGAGCTCTGTACTATCAACAGATGGATTAGGGACTGTTGAAGAAGGGGAGGATAAGAGAAGACAGAATCAAACAGCCTTTTTACACAATGCAGATAATTAACCACTTTGGTTCCACCGTGAGTATAACAAGCATGCTGTACTGCATATACAGACTGATTTTACTGTTGTTGGCTTAGTAACACTTTGAACCCTGGTTCACACTGATGCAGTGCGGAATTTGCAGCGTTTTCTGTGCGAATTCCGCACTGCATCAGAATCACACCCCGTTCGTGCAAACCGCTGCGAATGTGTATGTTAAGTTAACAACACCCTGAACGCGGTCTGCAAAATGTGGTGTGATGTGTAGAAATCGGATCGCATAGGTGTGAAACCCATGCGATCCAATTCTAGTGCAGACCCAAAAAAGGGTCCTGCACCTTTTTGGTGCAGATGCGGTGCAATTTAGAGCCAAATTTATGGCTCCAATCGCACTGAAACACAAATCGCATGTGATTTGCACAGCAATGCGGTGCTGTTACTGTGCGAATCACATGCGATATACCGCACTGCATATATATGAACCTAGGCTAAGTGTGTGCATGGGGGAATTGGTTAAAAAAAAACTGAACCATGTATGACCAGGTTTAGCCTAGTCCCATCCCCTCAGAACCTGGGCTTTGTTCCAGCATTTTCTGGGAGATTAACCTTCCTTTATCTTACTGAGTCAAGGTAAGAATGTGTCACATCCCATGTATTGCTTTTGTTTGTTGGTCCAATCACAAGGTAAAGTGCAGCAGGTCCTAGTGTGATCAAGTGACAGGCAAATGTCTCACTATCTGTTGTGGTTAGCCTTAAGCCGGCCACTAACCCAACGTATGAAATTCAAAATACTAACCACAGCTTACAAAGCCATCCACAACACTGCCCCTAGCTACATCACCGACCTCATCCACAGATATTGCTCAAATCGCCCACTCCGATTCTCCCAAGATATCTTCCTCTCTAGCTTCTTCATCACCTCCTCCCACGCTCGCCTCCAGGACTTCTCCAGAGCCTCTCCTACCCTCTGGAACTCCCTACCACAGTATGTGCTGTCGGTCCCCACCCTGTCTGCCTTCAGGCGATCTTTGAAAACTCACTTATTCAGGGAAGCCTACAGCACCTCCACCACTAAGAACTAAACTTGAATCACCTCCACCAGATCACCCCCCACAGGTATCACCTTTTGTATCACCTCCCCCTTCCTTTAGATTGTAAGCTCCATGAGGAAGGCCCTCCTATTCCTTTTGTACTGAAATGTATTCTAATTGTACTGTCTCTCTTATATTGTAAAGCGCTGAGCAAACTGTTGGCGCTATATAAATCCTGTATAATAATAATCATTGATCAAATCTCGGCTGGTTCATCAGGAACTGGCTGAGATTTGATCCATCTACGGGCAGTAGAACCAGCCTTTTGGATTTTTTTATCACTGCCAGTGGCTGCAGCTGCCAGCAGTGGTCATAGTGCTCTGCCACAGGAAAGGCTTCTCACCCACAGAACACAATAGTACTGCAAGAGTGAGTCCTCCATCAACGCTATGTTGATGGGGGAATCAAGCAAATATTTGTCCTTCCACCGAAAGAAAATTGCATATCCAATGGACTGATTTAGACTACACTCCATACTTGTCTCTAGTCTGTGCTCCAGCCTCTTTTTACCTATGCCTTGGTCCAGCAAGGTGCTTACAGAAACACTCCCCTTCATATGTAGTCTTCATATGTGGGCTTTATTTTTTCAGACCGATGAAGCAACATCAATAGTATAGATAAAATAATATATATATTTTATGTGTATGTATTTTATGTTTTTTTTGCTGTCTTCTAGAGAGCAAGTGTCAATGTAGCATTATCAGGTTGGCGTACATTTTCTTATCCCAGTTCGAACTGACTCCTGACTCTCTTTTAGTACCACCCTAGCAGTGGCGTCTCGAGGCAGGTGCAGGGGGTGCGTCGTCGCACCGGGTGTCACCTATCACACGGGGTGACACCGGACCCACTCCACGAAAAGGTAAGTTGTAAAGCAAGCCGATGATCGCCGCAGGATGGATTCGATCCATCCTGCAGGGATCGTCGGCTTTTTTTGCAACTTACCTTTTTGTCGAGCGGGTCCGGTGTCACCCCGTGTGATAGGTGACACCCGGTGCGACGACGCACCCCCTGCACCTGCCTCGAGACTCCGTATAGGTTGCATGCCGACGATCCCTGCAGGATGGATTTGATCTGCATATTAGGGAGCATAATGGATCGGATTCCGATCCATTATGCTCAGTCTGCAGATCCGATCCATCCTGCGGGGATCGTCAGCATGCAACCTATACGGGGTGACACCGGACCCACTCCACGAAAAGGTAAGTTGTAAAGAAAGCCAACGATCCCCGCAGGATGGATCGGATCTGAGTATTGGGGAGCATAATGGATTGGAGTCCGATCCATTATGCTCAATCTGCAGATCCGATCCATCCTGCTGGGATCGTCGGCATGCAACCTATACGGGGTGACACCGGTCCCGCTCCACGAAAAGGTAAGTTGTAAAGAAAGCCGACGATCCTCGCAGGATGGATCGGATCTGTGGATTGGGGAGCATAATGGATCGGAGTCCGATCCATTATGCTCAATCTGCAGATCCCATCCACTCTGCGGGGATCGTCGGAGGGGGTGTCACCAAATGTTATCGCACCGGGTGACACCAACCCTAGGGATGCCCCTGCACCCTACTTCTGTGTCTCTTTGACTTTTCCTTTTTTTATGGTCACTACTGTCTCTCATCTTTCACATTGTTTTCCCTTTCTTTTTTATTTGCTTCACTCTTTAATATGTGTTTCAAACCCATCTCAGTGCACCACATGATGCTCATCAGAAAGGTTTGATTGCAATCAATAAAAACCATTAGTACTGATACACCAACCATCACAAAAATTCATGGTAAATTATGGTTGCTGAACAATATGCAGTTAAAGCGTACTATGGGCATGCACACTATTACATATCAAAAGCAAACGGTGAGCACTATAGATACGGAAGTAGCTGGTACAAAAGATAGGGACAATATCTCAATATTTTGTTATTTACAAAATGACATAGAATTACACCTTCATGGCAGACAGCAGAGGTAGGTACTTGGATTTACTTTTCTTAACTGCAGGTAGTATAACAAGGATTTTCATGGGACTTGCCCCAGCCTGTGACTGGATGGTGACGGAGCAGCAGCCTATCGATGAGATACATATTGTAAATTCCATTGGGGCTAATTTATTAAAAATAAATAGGCCATTCACTGGAAGGTAATTTTCTCTTTGTACATGATTGTATCTTGGTGAATGAGGTAAAACTCAGTTCTACTGAGTTCCATCATCCAATCATGTCCAAGTAAAGATACTTTTTTTATACTTTGACTGCATATGAGTGGGCATTCTTGGTAAATTGAATTTTCACCACTTTAAAGTGTTACTAAACCCACAACAGTAAAATCAGTCTGTATATGCAGTAAAGCATGCTTGTTATACTCACTGTGGAACCTAAGGGGTTACTCCTCTGCATTGAGTAAAAATGCTGTTTGATACTGACTTCTCTGATCCTCCCCTTCTTTCAATGCCCACCTCTTATCTCCTGATAAGACATAATGTGTGGAGACATTATGCACATGCTCAGTTTGGTGTGTATTGCTGGAGAGGTTTTTTTTTTTTTCTTGGGAGAGTTCATGTGATCAGCACAGGGCAAATCAGTGTTGTCCAGACAGAGGTCAGGGGTTCTGCATATTCCTAGAGCAGAAAAAAAAACTCCTCCTACAAGCTTTAACCAGTGATCAGCTGGACACTGATAGAAGTCACAAGATTACTCTAACTGTTGATGAGAAAAGGTATTTAGCAGTTTATATTTATATTTAGCAGTTTATATTTCTATATTCTGTGTACTGTTGGAGACCAGAGAGAGTGAATGCAGGGTCCTGGGTTTAGTAACAATTAAAGCTAGGAAAATTCCCTTGTAAACATTATCTTGCAAAGTGAACAGCATATTTGTCTTTAGTAAGCCTGTCACCCCTGGTTCACATATATGCGGCCGTGCGGGCCGCGTTTTGCGTGGTCAGGAGAGCACATTCATTTGAATGGTCTCCCGTGCCCCGTGACACACAGGGAAGAAGTCCCTGCACTTCTTTTGAAAACGCAGTCCGCACAGGATCCTCGGTTCCCAGTACAGTTGTGTTTTCCAGTGCAAGCGGCGTGCCATGAGAAATAATGGCACCCACCCGTGGGTCCGCATTCCTCTTTGTGGGTGGTGCGGCTGCATGGATTTTCTTCTGAACCTAGCCTTAAAGAATATCTAAACCCAACATTTCATGTACTTGTTCTACCAAGTACGTGTATGTAAAAGTATCCTGTTCTCTTTATATTGCTTCCTTTGTATGAAATCCCTGGTGTTCCTGCTAGACCCTCTACTTTCCAATAAAAAACTGACCACACTAGGCATGAGAGCACTGCATGGTCAGTTCTTTAGCTGTGCTGGGAGCAGGGGCGGACTGACCATTTGGAAACTCGGGCACTGCCCGTGGGCCCGGGGTCAGTAGGAGGCTCCATGAGATGCCCCTGGTACCTTTTTCATAGGATTTTTTGAGTTTGGGCAAGGACACGGGTCCCATGATCCCCTATTGCCCGGGGGGCCCCATGAGTTGTCAGTCCGTCCCTGGCTGGAAGCTAATGCTGTGCTGATACTCCCCCTTCCTCTGCACAGACATTCACAGGGAAGATCAGTGTGCTGTTGTTTCTCATCCCCCAGCTCTTATGCACCCAAGAACAGTTACATAGTTACATGGTTAGTCTGGCTGAAAAAAAGACAAAAGTCCATGTGATCCAGAGGAAGGCAAAAAACCCCCAGCAAAGCATGACTCGATTTGCTCTTGCAGGGAAAAAATTCCTTCCTGATCCCCAGAGAGGCAATTGGATATTCCCTGGATCAACAGATGTGATCACTTATAAAAAAGGGGGGGGGAAAGGAATTTTTTAATTTGTTTTATATATACATATACAAATGTTTTGCCTTTCTATTTTATTTTAAACTGAATGGGTTGTTTTACAAGGTGAGCGTTTACATATACTTTAAGACTGGTACTGCTGTGCCATATTGTGGGCTATCTTACAGTGCAGCCCTTTTCTCTCGTAGTCCAAATTTGTTGGGGATCACAAAACTGATCATTATTTAAAAATACATTAAGGCTTATTTATCTTAAAGAAATATGCTTCTTTTAAAATTGCCTATAATTCCACTTTAACTGAGCTAAATTGGCAGCACAGTGGCAAAGTGGTTAGCACTTCCACCTGGCAGTACTAGGGTCATTGGTTTGAATCCCAACCACAGCACCACCTGCCTGGGGTTTGCATGTTCTCCCTGTGCCTGCGTGGGTTTCCTCCAGGTACTCTGGTTTTCTCCCACACTCCAAAGACATGCTGGTAGGCTAATTGGATCCTGTCTAAATTGGCCCTAGTATGTGTATGTATGAATGTAAGTTAGGGACCTTAGATTGTACACCCCTTGAGGGTTAGGGACTGATGTGAATGTACAATATATATGTAAAGCACTGTGTAAATTGATGGCACTATACAAGTACCTAAAATAAATAAATAACTAAAAAAGGACTGATGGCTATAAAGGATTTACAGAAGTGATGCTGCAAACTTTTACTTCCTTCCTGTAAAGCAAATGGAGCCTCCTCAATAGTACCAGTCAGAACGACAGGAAACAAAGCGAGACACAACTATTTGCAATTTATTAACCTGATAAAGCTCAGTCTGTCAGATAATAAATGCTCATTTTTACTGTCTTATAAAAGCCATAGGGGGGAGCTATAGAAGGCAAAAAACAATTCCGAGAGGAAACATTCAGAAAGATTTCTACATGGCAGAGAACATGACAGAATAACCCTGACCTTGGTTAGGCGCCAGTCGTCTTAAAACGCTAGTCATTGTGTGGAAACAGCTGACTTCTGCACAGGAAACCATCATTGTTGATAGTAAATTGTGTTCAACCCTAGACAGGCCTCATCATCTACCTAGCTAGGACAGCACTGGCTCCAGGATATATTAATAACTTTTCCGGCAGCCGTAAGAACATGTCTAAAACTGGTAAAAAAAACAAAAAAAAAAACCCTTTTACTCCTGATAAAGGCTTTAAACAAAGAGATATTATAGCCCGTAATTATAGCTTGTACTGTTGATACTGAGAAGGTATAGACCGTTATAGCTTTCTTCTAAAAAATTAACTGTTTGTGCAAATAAAAAAAAGTAGCAAAAACTGTATAGCAGCTTAAAAATACATAATGTAATGGTTGAATTGGATGGACTTTTGTCTTTTTTCAGCCAGACTATGTAACATATTGCCATGTAGTGTTAATGTCAATGAAGTTTACATATGCATCTAATGCAGTTTCTTGGTCATTTGCTACATACTGGACGCCATACATACTTTTTGGACGCCATGGACGTTTCTCAGTTTCCAGGCAGAAAGAACGGTAAAAATGCAGGCAGGGCTCCGGGCAAAGGTGTTTTAGGGTCATGTGACCGCCGTGATTCGCTGTCACATGATCGGGAAAGGTCCTGATTGAAAGAGGAGATTGGGACCTTTCCGTGAGTACCAGACATGTGTGCTGGGAGCGGCAGGGTGCTTGCTCTCAGCACATATGTTTTTCTTAATTGCACGCAAATGTGCGGCCGCTCGGCATCAAGGCCCAAGGGTTTTCATGAGCTGTAAGCCAAAATCACAATTATGACAAATCACAGCTTGAACTATCTTGCTTTGCATGTAATGAGTCTATCTCATATATTAGTTTCACCTTTTAAGTTGCATTACTGAAATAAATGAACTTTTGCACAATATTCTAATTTTTTGAGTTTCACCTGTATACATGATTTTGTGCAGCCCTGCCACCCTGTAGCAGTACTTCTACTATAGGGCGTAGAGAAAGCGGTTAAAAAAATGTTTGCCTAATTTAAAAACAAAAGATTTATTATCAGTTTAACTATTATTTTCTTCCTGATTTTGTTTATTCCTATATTTCTAACCCTTCTAAAACATTTTTATTTAATCCATATTGTTCTTGTATTTTTTAAAATGTTGTTTAAAAAAAAAAGTGCAGGATTTAAAGGAAAAAAGCCCCTATTTTATTTGTAAATAATCTTGCCATGCTTTGTACTATGTCATATTTTGTTTTAAACTAGCACTGATTGGTAGAAAAATGAGTATTTTAGCTTTATGCTTTTCTCTATGAATTTCATAAAAAGTAAAATTATTTTTGCAAGACGATATCACCAAAAGAAAGCCTTGTTTGTTCTTAAAAATGTTACATGTTCTCTTAAAGTGGAACTGCACTGCATCTGAGCACCACAAGCCAAAAATGTTATTTAATTCATTTTTAATATTAGAAAAAAAACACCCATCCATCCATGTCTCCATGCATTATTTTCTGAGGAATCATTTTGAAAAAAAAAACCTGGCATTTCTGGCAGTGGCCATCTTGAGTAAGGGTAGATGATTTATGTAGCATTTACTTCCTGGAAGCTATCTGCCCTTAGCTCAGGCAATGGCTGAGCTGAGAACCCTCCCTCCCTTCCTGAAGACTCCTGGGATGTATGACATCCTTTGCCAAGCATGGAAACCAGTAAGTAATTAAAGAAATGTAAAAAAACAATTTAAAGCAAGTAAATATGACATACTTTCCTATTTATTTAGTGATGCTATCAGCATAAGGATTAAAAATAGTCCATAGTGATTGGGACAGTGAAGTTTTAAGTGACAGTTATTGCCAAACCACTCAACCCATAGCAAAAATGTAAAAATTACTTAACTCATTTTTTTGTTTTTTTTTTTCTGTTGAATGAATAAACTGCAATAAACATTCCAATATATTTGAACATGCTGTTTTTAGCTATATGCAGTCCTGACGGTAACAAAAATATAAAAAATTCTGTTGTTGGAGGTTCACGTTTCATAAGGAATATGGTTGTGTTTATTTACTCAGAGTTGCCTGGCTTCATCTTTCTGGAGTGGAATTCTCTTCTAATAAGTAAATTACAGACATGGAAATTTAGGACTGGATGCCTATTCAAATTATACGTTTTTTTCACTAAGGAAACATGGAGTTAGTAACAGGCATCACGTCTACAGCTGTCAGCCATTGACTGCGCTGTTGTGTTGTCTGGCAATAAGTACTATGCCACTAATGTTGAAAGATGAAAGTGAAGTGATCACAATTTATCATCAAATTATTTTTAAATGAGATTACATGCTGAGGATGTAGTCACCACAGTGGTTTATTAATGTGTGGGGATTATTTACTAACATAATACAAAGAGTATTAAAGTGCTGTTTAGAAGCCAACATGAAGCCCACATGCTTTAGCTCTTTATAGTCCCGATCTGATCATTTCTAGCTGATTTTGCTTAGAAATGTCTTAAAATACAATCTTCTCACAATGGAAATTCTGGGAAATGATTATGCTTGGATAGGGAAACCCCATATTGTTTTTTTCATCTTTTTAAAATGTGTATTGTCAAAACTGGTAAAAAATGGTCAAACCTGGTCGAAAATGGTGCAGGGTTCCTCTTCAAAATCCAACCAAACCCTTATTCATGCATGCAGTCTAGATAGCCAGGAAAAGATGGCCAAGGAGCATGCCCACCCCTCTTTTCTACAATGCAGGCTACATGCCTTTCAACAATGAAGAGATACTTTTCAAGGGGGGTGGCAAAGCCTCCTTTTCTTACAACATGCTTTGTCCCAATGTTGATGGATAAGGACCTCTTATCCACACCCAGTTCCCCAAAATGGATGTTATTGTTTGTGGAAGAGATGTTAAGGAATCTGGAAACCCTCTTTTTAATGAGGGGGCCCCCAGGTGTCTACCGCCTCTCAAGTGAATGAGTACAGAGATATATTAGTGCCCCTTATTACTCATTCCTGAAAACAATAAAAAGTAAAAAACACACACATACAGTGTGAAAAATACCTAGCCACTTCCAGGTATAACATGTGGTATAACTGGATAATGGATGCAGTTGCATCTTCTTTCTTGTAAAAGTGATCCCTGTGACTCTACAGCTGCTCAATCACTTTTACAGGATACAGAATGGGCCTTCCCCTGACCCCCCACCGCTGTTCCCGTGCTCTCCCATGCTATTGGGAAGCCTGGGACTGCTACACTCGGTCTGGCTGGCTGCAGACAGAGGAGAAGAAGGAACATCCATTCCTTCCCCTCCTCTGTGATGAATGAAGCCAGTAGCAGCATGTATTACGTCACTTTCGGTTTCAATCTTGATTTGATCAGATGCTTTTGAGGGCAGAGGCCACAGTTATCACAAGGCACATTGTTCATCCCTTGTGATAACAATAACGTTGATCCAAAATAAATAAAATAAGAGGCAGTGTAAAAAAACAGCTGAAATAATAATAAAAAATATTAAAGAGCCCCCTTCCCCGTGCTCATGTACAAATGTGAACACGCCTGTAAGTGTAGGTCCTGCATGCATATGTAAGTGGTGATCGCACCACACATGTGAGTGGAGGGAGAGCAATAATTCTGGTGCCAGATATCCTGTTTAATGCTAAACTGGTAATCTGTAAAGGCTTTAATGCTTCAACTAAGGATAATTTAATGTACCCTAGTTTGTTGCTATTCCA